TGTATTAAAAAGATATAAATTCTATTATGTAGGCATATCACTTTTGAAGGCGACCGCAGAAAATAAAATATATCATGTTGAAATTATTATTTAACCCACACTTTCGTAAAGTGTTATTCTTTCATGTTCCTTCTTCTATTCATGATGGGATTTCCAATGACACATTTTCTCTTTCAAAATGAAATAAGACGAAGATTTTATAAATACTTCAAAGTATTTTAAGCATTTTGATTCGAATAAAGTTTAGTAAAATTTCTTCTAGATTACTAGATCTACAACAAACAAGTGATATTATTGAAACAGAATAACAAAAAGAGATCGATCGAAGACGTAATCAAAACCATCGCACTTATGTAAAAGAATATAGAGCAAATTTGTTCATGTTTTTATAGATGAATTTAATCTCGATCAATTCTGATTCACGAGATTGAAAAGCTCTTTCGGAAAATTTGAATAAATAAATAATACTGTAAGAAAAAAAAATAGCGGAAGATCCCCCACGAGACTTCCATACGATGACAACTAAATCATGAGTACTTTGAATCTTCTTTTCTGTAGTTCAGTAAAGAAAAATCGAGAAAAGAGATTTGAACAAAAAAAAAGGTAAGAATATGTTCTAACACATTTGCAATTCATATTGTCATTAAGCTTCTTTCCATTAGGATATATCATATGTCTTCATATTAAAACGAAGTACTATCGTTGCTCTAGAATGAAATAAAATAACCATTCACTTATAAAACAGATAATGTGCCATATTTTTTTCTGCAAAAAACACTAGTTAGTTTCATTTAAAGAGAATGTCGTAGTTTTTTTAAGTTCTTTTTGCCTTGCAACAACGGTTTTTACGCATTTTTGTTGCAGATTAGAAAGGTAAGCATGTTATTATTATTATCGATCTTTATCTTAATTCCTTGATTCTCTTCGTACAGAAAAAATCTTGACTTGATAAAATATTGTTGAACTTAATAAAACTGTCCAAGTTTCAATTTATAGCAAGATGAATTTTCCTTCAATCATCAATCGGATATACATAATCATTTGTTGTTTTAATGTTCTACTAGCTTTCAGTGGTCTAACGATTGTTATTATTTATAGAAAGCTATGTTTTAATTTTTCTACTCTATTAGTTTGTAATACTGTTCTAGCTATTTTTGTATTTTCCGCTAACCATACAGCGATAGCCGTCTACATGCTAATCTGGGATCGACAAGCAGTACCAAACATTGATGATCTTTGTGCGTTACGTGCTTATTTTCTTCATTCTACCACGGCTTGTATTCAGCATTCATTGATTTTGCAAGCAATAGAAAAATATTTGAAGATCAGAAGAATCAATTTTTTTAAGAATCCAATTTGTCAAATTATGATCGTTCTTGTCCAATGGATATTTGATTTTAGTTTTACTTTACCTGTTTTCCTAACAGGTAATATGGTGAAACTTACTATTGACAATCTATGTTTTGTTTCCTTATTAAAATGGCATCTCCCATTATATATGGGTGTAATAACATTTGTTATATCAAATATAACTCTTACAGTTGTATATCGTCTTTTTGTGAGTTATGTAGGTCAAGTCTCATCAAGAGTCAATGGAAATCGTCAATTAAAAATGCGTCGAGACTTGAAATTGATAAAACGCATCATATTGCTCAACTTTGAATTGTTTTTTGTTGGTATTCTAGCAATTATTTTTCTTACTTTGAATATGATTTGCTCTGATCTTTTACCTCGTCATTGTATGCGAGTCTTATTCATGATTGAGCATTTTGCGATGACCTTTATGCTTATCGTTCTCTATCGAATCACACCGAGTATTCGACGAAATATTGTCGAATGTGTCAATTTAACACGATGTTTTCGAACAAACGGCACCAATTGAATCCGATCAATGGCAGATATTCATTGCTTTTAATCAAAGCAAAAATACTTCACTGACTATCTCAATCGATATTTTCACTACATTCAATTCATGCATCATTGTCAAATAAATGCATCTGATGAATCAATGAAGACCAATGATATCTCAAATAATCAATTAACCGATAGTGCAAGGTGATCAATACTTCACTCAAAAAAATCATACAAAAAAACATTAAGGACAGACATGTACAGATATATGTAAAATTTGAAAGTTGAGTTCAATTGAGTCTTCAAGCTTCAAGGGGAAAAAGTCAGCCGACCTTTCTCTTAGTGTGGGTGCCGCAGAAAGAGTCACATCACGTCTCTCTGTCTGTGAATGTTGCTAAAGGCTTGAAGCTGGGTGTGGGTGTGGTTATAGGTGCAGTGGGGTCTGGATAAGGATGTGAAGCGTTGACATCGTCATCCACACTCTCACTCTTACTACAGAGATAGAGCATTACTACGCGAAATTTAAGATCGGTCCGAAGCAAAGGTCTCTAAATTCTAGAAAACGTTATGGAATACCATTTGAATATTGGTACAACATTCTTTACTAACATAAGTGAACACTGCTATAAAACATTATTTTGAGATGAGAGATGGTCGACCTCTTTTACGAAAGAGATCTTCGTATACTATTGCAGTTTTTTAAAGTTTTGGAAATAATTCTAGACAAGAATGTCGCTGAGAAGAGCAAGTATACCATAAAATCAATGCACAAGACATATAACTATTGAATATGTGCAAGAAACATAGGTTGTCGATACTGAGTAGATACCAGTTTGTAACGTAAGATTCCTGACAAGACAAAATCTAATCATGTTTGTGTTTGCTAGACACGAAATTAATATTTAATACAAAAAAAAAGTCAAATACATGTCAAATATTGCTTATTAACAAAAAACTGTGACAATAGCTTGCATTTTTTAGAAACAAAGAGTAACAACAACTAGGTAGTATTCAATTTATTTAAGTAAGATTTATATAGAAAATAGTTTGAACTTTAGTTACACAGATTGACATATTGGACTGTGTCAAATAAAATGTTTGAAATTTGAGTGTGAGTGAAGAAGAATCTCAAAGACAAATTTCATACTCTATAGACGTTGCCTTCTGTTTTATTTTTAGGTTTTCTACGATGCTTTTAAGGCGCGTTTTTTCTCTTTCTGGTAAGAATGAAAAAAAAAACACAGCAAAAACATGGTGAATTCCATTGTTTTTCTTCTGCTTTTGTTGGATATGTTGATAATGTAAATGAAGAAAAATCGAAAGACACTTTTACTTACCAAATATATTTCTACTCGTGAACATATATTTGAGTAAAAAAACACTGTTCATATCGTGCTTCACCTTCAGAAGTATGATGCATTTTGTATTCGAGTGAAAGTCGAATACCATTTAGTTTTTAAAGTGCGCAGCATCTGTGTAGTGATTCGTCACGTTGTAGCTAAACGCACGCATATATTTTTTACATTTTCCGTCGTCATGATCTTGAGAACAGAAAGTTAGAAAAGTGTCGAGATCGAATGAAAAGCTCCTTTTTTTTTCAACTTTCATTATGATGTTCCAATCACATATAAATTCACTCTCTTTCCTTAAATATGAAACAAACGACCTATCGATAATATTTTTTAGAGGAATGTTGACAGGCTTTTACGTAAATCGCGCAGTGATGAATTCTGACATGGCTAGTTTTCAGCTTGTGTCTGATTTCGATCAGTTTGTTGATGAAAATGCAGCTTTTTCCAGTTACTACGACCGTACCTTATTTCGCATGCTTGACGACGTCGAGTTTTTCTTTCTCTAACGCGATAATCTGGAGAACGTCACATCGCCTGGTGCTCGTTGAAATCTGTATACAGGGCAAATTTTTCTCGATTTTATGTACCGAGATTTGATGTTGATGTTAGGTTTCGAAATAATTAAAATGAAGACAGCAACAAATAAAGCTGATTACAGATAAGGATTTTGCTAAATGTTGATAATGGTCTCATAGTAATGAGTTTCGTCATGTCTGTATGTCAGTACCTTTTATTCTTCGATTAATGGATCAATGAAAACGTAAATTTTCTAATTTAATGCGACAAAAATCGCCAGATTCGAATTAAACATGAGTCTCTTTTGAAGCAGTGTTTTTCGCGCCGCATAATACCATCTAGTTTTTCTTAGCCTTAAAGAAAAATGTATCGTTAATGTTTTCAATAAAATAACGAATTGATCAATCTGTAATGTCTTTCTATCTTGTCGAAAAACAAATTTCATGTGATAACATAATTTTCCGGTAAGTTAAACTCCCCGATGACCAATCATTTGACCTGAATAATCAAAATCGTGTCAAATCGACCATTCATATTATCAGATTATAGTTTCGAAATGAATCATATAAGTGAACATCTGTTTAACTACAACCAATGTCTCTATGGAGTCGTTTTATTTTTGATCATTGATCATATCTGAATTGATTAATAAGAAAAAAAAAAACCGAATTTGATTTAATAAATTTTTTTATTATTTTTTTTCCTCTCTCTCTCCCTCAAGCTCATATTACAATTCTTGAGTGAACAAATGATATGACAATGAAAAGGTGTTGATGCATATTTTAAAACTCCGCCTGTATAAACATATCACGGAAATGAGTTTTGTTTAAGGGAAGAAAAAGAATACCGTTGTATTTCAATAAAGTGGTCACATGAGAATGATGCTTCTCATTTCATTTGATGAAGTCGATTGTTGATTTTTCGACTCTCACAGTATGAGGTATCATGTTCATTGGCTTGGAAAAAACGCATCATCGTTCGCGTCTGTCTATTAGAACAGAGAATCGAACCGAAAAAGAAGAAAAAAAAAAAGAAAAGGCGAATAAAAATTCGTTTTTTTCTTTCGCTGTCTCTCTCTCTCTCTCTGATTCTCTTTGCCTTGATCATATATACATATTCATTCTTGTATTGGTTCATATTATTTAATCTTGTCTTTTTCTCTTTTCATTCTTTCGAACATTTACTCATCTAACAGATAGATTGAATATCTTCCTCTCTCTCACATGTCTCATTAACTCATATAACTACTAACAAATAGATTCAACGAAATTTATTATTATAATGAGAAAAATACGTTTTCGTTATATAAAAGAAAATGGACAATCAACATCGGTTACTGTACGATGTTGTCTTAAACGTAAGTGATAGACTTATTTTTTTTTTCTATCTATATATATATGCATAAGACCACCGACAAAGCGATATGTTTAATTTATATTAGACAAGGATCAAGCAGAAGGGGGTTATTGGCTTTACACTCGTTGTTATTTTTTGTTTTAGCAATTATAAAAATCACATGTAGATACAATTGGTCTGTTTCCCCTAGGATATACGATTGATCGTTATTAGTTGACAAGAAGATTTAAAATTGAAAAGTCTTAATATAAACTAGCTCTTCATTGATCAATGACTCGTTTTCTTTAACAAGATCATACGAGCATATATATATATATATATAGATGAATAGTCCTGTTGCTCTTTTGAGTTCATTAGTCCTTGTGGTACTTGACACATCAAAGGAATATACGCGCACATTACGTTGACATTTTTCGTTCTTTTTACGTCTCGATTCATTGCTCATTTAAGTGGCTATTGAACCAATACAGGTGTTGCCAAGATAGAATGATGATTTGCATGTGTGTGTATGTATGTGCACCACAGTTAGTGGTCGTTTTTCCTTTTTTTTTTTTTCGTTTATGTTGTCTGATGTTTATGATGTGTTTTACCGGGAGGCAAACATAAACATCAACATACTTGATTTTTTTAATAAAAAGATCAATATGAATCAATTGTAGTTTCTTGACAAGAAAAAAAAATGAAAATATCATTCAATAGAGAATTTTATTTTTAAACTTATATAACATTAAAATATCAAATATCTTCTATTCCATATGGTAGAAACATTATTATATCGCTCATTAAAATGATAAACAGAATGGTAAATGAATTAAATAAATAATGACGACAACAAAAGGTTAAAGTTTTTTTTTTTGTTGAAACTTTGCAGATATATCCATAAACATATCATCAAGAGAGAATATAAGTGAATTAAACAGACATCATCATCACCGTGGGTGATTGCTTTTAGGTAAAAGAAAAGCTAAGTAACTTAGATGATGATGATGGGAGAGAATAGAATTTTCCCACATTTTTTTTTCCCTTATTTTCTTTTTGTTAAGATCGCGTGTCAACTAGATGTAGAGTGAAACATCATGTTCTTATCACTCTTTATCAAGGATGGTGATGATGATTGGAGTGTGTGTATATATATGTACATTGGCTAATTCAGCAAAGAGAAGACACACGTTCGTGTCAAGATGTTAATCAAATAAGACGTTGATGATTGAAACCTATCGAATAAGTCAGTATGTACATATAGAAAAAAGGCTTAGAAATGTATGTCTAACGTCTTGTGCAATTGATATTGAAATTGTATACAGAAGGTGTTGAAAAGTGATTTCCGGGAAGTAAGAAAAGCAAGACTATATACATGTATAAATAAATCAATCATTCATCATCATATCCTTAGGGAGAAGTGTTCATATTTGTATTGTTATTTTGTTTTTTTGCAAAATTAGACAAAATGTGTCAAAATAGAAATTTCTTTTTTTAAAAGACTTCTCGTGCTAATGATGTTAAAGATTTTCTTCCTTACTTCTTTTTTTTTTGTTTGCTAATCTTATGATCAAGATTTTCACAGTTGGAAGTGTGTAACTGTTATATAAATATATATATTGCAATTATGTAGAGGTCAATGAACTTGATAATATTAAAGGATATTAGTTCATATGACAATAACTATTATGTCGGCATGTGTATAATATTTGTTGAATATAATGTTGTCTTTTAATTCATACTAGAAATTTAAACATCTGCATGTTATTGTTCAAAAGAAATGAATACAAGAGAACAGTCAAGGTTATTATCTCATTTATCATATTTAGAATAAAAAAAAAAACCATGTAAAATACAAAAAAAAACAAAAAAAGATGAATGATTGATATTTAATGAGTTAAGATTTTCTTATATACCTGATCAATAAAAAACAACAATCATTTTCACTGTTTTAAAGAAGAAGAAGAAGAAAATATAACATGAGTAATGAATATGTAATTATTTTTGATAGACGACACCTGGTATCTGTCGGAATGTGATGAAATAAGAGTGAAAGCTTTTTACGCATTAAGATTTTCATTTTTTTTTTTTTTTTTCTATTACTTTATCATGTCAATGATCTGTTATTGAGATAAAAAAACAAAAAGAAAGACTTATATTATACATGCAATCTTTATAATTAATCATTCTCATACGATATACATATATTTTCTTTTTCTTAGGTAATTCTTCACTTATATCCGAAGCACTTAGACATTATCAACGATTGGAACGACAAAATGATGGAGAAATATCAACAAGAAAATTAGATAAACAAAATCGACGTCATTATCAACATGTTAAAGAATGTAAATTTCGACCGATTGTTATTGAACAAGCTGTAACACAAAAATTAAAAGTTAGTTAAACTCAAGATTAACATGATAGATTTGAAACCATATTGAAAATATTATATATGTTCGTTGATATTAAAATATGATATATTAAGTGAAATGAAAGGTGTCGAATTTCTAAATATTTCATTTATGAGATGTTTTATATGTATGAGACAACACTCAATATGTTCATTTTTATTGCTTCTGGGAAAATTGAAAGACAAGCAAAACAAAAAAAAAAACGAGAACGAAATTTTATCGTTTGACTAGTTTTGGCTTCTTGATCAATATCAAAAAAAAGAATCTTATTTGCATTGTAAAATGAGAAAAATATCGATTTTGTAAAAAAAAGAAAAGTCAGAAGCCTAAAAATTAAATTGAATTGACATAGATTTATGTTTTCTTACTTATTTCACATTTTGACAAAAATCTTAATTATAAATTTTCTTTTGTCATTAAATAAATATTTGCATATTTGTTTTTGTTTTTGTTTTATTCATTATAAGCCAACAACTAATAATCATCATTTTGATCCAATTCAATTACGTCGTAAACAATGTTCTTCAACATTAATTGATGAAGATCTTCCAATAATATCTAATTGTAATCTTAATTATCTATCATCTCCATGTTCATCTTCTTCTGGTTAGAAAAATCTTTGCTTTTTTTTTTAATCTATATTTTATTATTATTTAATAGGTTTTCGAAGTCATTCACATTCATTAAGTAATCAAACATCATCAGTTAATAATGATATAGAAATATCTAATGAAAATCTTATTAAACGTACTAATATAATTAAAGAAATTTATAAAACTGAATATGATTATATAGGACATTTAAAAAATTTAGTTGATGTAAGTTAATTATAAGAAGATTATGATTTATATTTATTTATTTATTTAGGGTTATATTAAAAAAATGCGTTTACGTCGAGATTTATTTTCTGAAAAACAAATTGAATTATTAATGGGAAATATTGAAGAAATTTATGATTTTCAACAAACATTTTTTCAATTATTAAAATTATCAATTAATGAATTAAATCCATATAAAAGTCTTATTGGAAAATGTTTTCTTCTTTATGTAAGATTAAAATTATATAAATATAAATAATTTTCTTTTTTTTTTAGAAAGAAGAATTTAAAAAATATTCAGATTATTGTATTAATCATTCATTATCATGTTTAGAATTATCAAAATTAGAAAATAATATTATTTATCGAAATTTTTTTGAAGTAAATTAAATAATTTTTTTTTTTTGAAAAAAAAATTAATTATTTAGACATGTCGATTACAAGCAAATATGATTGAATTAAAATTAGATGCTTTTCTTCTAACACCAATTCAACGTATTTGTCAATATCCATTACAATTAAATGAATTATTAAAATATACTTCATATGAACATAAAGATTATAAAAATATTCAACAAGCATTAAATACAATGCGTGATGTTGCAAATTATATTAATGAACAAAAAAGACGTATGGAATATATAGAAATTATTCATAAATGGCAACATACAATCGAAAATTGGCAGGTAAAATAAATAAAATATTGTTTATTAAAATTCTTAAATACAGTGCTGGTCAAAAATATAAGACCAGTATATTTTTGTTTTTTTTTGTCTACTACACCACGTATCTATCTCAAAGCCAAATAGTGATTTGAGTTGCTCTATTAAATCCATAATAAACCATATCTTCACAGATGAATTAAGACAGTAAAGGTCCTAAAAGACAAAAACCAGCATTTTTCAGAGTCGGCTTTGAATAGTGTCATCTTAAAGAACGCAAAATTAGGGGTCGCCGCGCTTTCTACGACTTTTCCTTGCAAAATTACGAGCATCGAAAAAAAAGTGAAATTTTTCAAAAAATCGCTGAAAAAGTGCATTTTTTCGATGCTTGTAATTTTGCAAGGAAAAGTCGTAGAAAGCGCGGCGACCCCTAATTTTGCGTTCTTTAAGATGGCACTATTCAAAGCTGGCTCTGAAAAATGCTGGTTTTTGTATTTTAGGACCTTTACTGTCTTAATTCCTCTGTGAAGATATGGTTGATTATGGATTTGATAGAGCAACTCAAATCACTATTTGGCTTTGAGATAGATACGTGGTGTAGTAGAAAAAAAAAACCAAAAATATGCTGGTCTTATATTTTTGGCCAGCACTGTATAATGAGAATCATTATGTCAATCATAATATTTTCGATATAACTTAAAGATATAATTTTCAAAATTTTAGGGAAAAGATATTCTTGAAACAAGTACACAAGGTTTTGGTCGTGCTGATGCTTATTTATATCAAAATGGAAAAAAAGAATCTGTGATTTTATTTCTATTTGATCATGTACTTATTATTTGTAGAAAAGTATGTTGAGTAATAGAAAAAAAAAGATGAAAGAAAATTTTTTATTTTGGAAAATAGGATCGACGAAATACATTGATTTATATTGGACGAGCTGATTTAGATCATGCAAAAATTGAAGATCTTAGTGATGGAAAAAGTAAAATGAAATTAATTTTGAATATTTTTATTTTTGTTTTATTTTAGATATTCATTTAGATGAAGAAAATCTTGTTAATATATTTTTTTCTTGGCGTTTACATGATTATATTGAAAATAAAATTTATTTATTTGCACATCGTACACCATTAGATAAAATACAAATGATGGATGCATTAGAATATGAACGAGCATATGTTAAAGAAAATAGTTTAAAAACTCCTTTTTATACACGATTATCAACATTAAAAACTCAACAATATTTAACTAATCAATCAAAATCATTTCCTTCTATTACAAAACAACGTAAGAAAAAATAAATAAATATTTTTGTTTTATTTTCTATTCAATATTTTTATTTTTTTATAGATCGTTCTATATCTACAATTTTTCGAACAAGTAGTAATCAATCTTCATTATTAACAACAGCTATTTATCATACTCCATCACGACGACGTAAATCATCATTACCAAGATTTGTACGTTGTTCATCACCTGATTCATCTGTTGAAGAAAGTTTTCGTTCAATAAAATCACGTTTACGATTTTGGTCTTAATTAAAAACTAAACTTTGATTTGTTTTTTTTTTTTTCTTCCTGTTTTTTGTTTGTATGCGTGTATTTATATACGGTGCTATCTATTACTTTATTTGTTAATGCACAGTTCCGCTTAAGACAATCTGTTTTATTTTGATAAAATAAAAACAAAAAAAAAAGAAAGATATGTAAAGTTTATTTCAATAGTCAAATATTTCGAAGAATCAAACTCGAAAAGTTATGAAGGGTCAACAATTTTCAAATTTCATATTTTAATTCAAAATTAGAATCGAACACTATGCATGAACGATGTAAAAATATTATCTTAGCCGTATATAAACGACAGGTTGATAATTTATGAGAATATAAATGATGTTATAAATCATATTAGTTCAAGTGAAATTATGGAAACAGGACTAAAATAAGTAATATTGTGTCGGCTGAATTAATCGAAACATGAGTATATCAAATCTTTTTAAATTTTATTGCAAATAAATTGTGAAACAATGTTCTCTAAGCTGGGATCAAGACTAGAAAAAAATTCGTCAAGTTTTTCGAGCGAGTACAATAATGATGACAGACTAGAAACCATAGATCCAAAGAGGGTACTAGGTCTATTGCACAACCCGATCCTGACCTGACTGTCATAGGCATCACCCATGATTTTCCGACTAGTGAAAGTCAGAGGTTCAAGCAACTTTTGGCCTGTCGGGACCTGTCACTTTCATTAGTCGAAAAACCATGGGTGATGCCTATGATAATCAGGTCAGGATCGGGTTAAGCAATAGCCCTAGTATCCTGATTGGACCTCTAGTTTCTATTCTGTCATCATTATTGTACACGCTCGAAAAATTTGACAGGCCGTACACGCTTAAAAAACGAGGCCTGTTTGGACCTCTGTCACCTACATTTTTAGTTCTGACTCAAAAATGATTTACCAATTGAAGAACTTTTCTTACGTTTAAATAGCGGGCGGAAGTCTTCTGATAACACTTTCAAATGAGGATTAAGCCAAATTCAATCGTTTGTAGTGAACAGAAGACTGAGTCTTCTCGAAGTTTCATCTGGTTACATACTTAACTCCGCTGCCATAATCATTTGAATATAATGAGAATTACTAAAGCATTATAACTTTCATGGATTTCTATCTAAATCTTGTCATGAGAAAATTCATTCTTTTCAAAAAAATATCTCGATTGCATTGAATAATAAATCAACAATAGCAAAAATCATAACTTGACGAAATCCATTTTCAAGACAATCAAAATTTTTTATGTTTACTAAGAAAATATTATCAATATATTGTACTAGTACGACATTTGACAGATGGCGTAAGAATTTAATCGACTGGTTTATATTTATCAGCAATCAAGTTCTCTTGTAATCTCTTCTTTTTTGTTTTAACATTCTTAAAAATTAGTCAAAAAAGACAAAAAAATGTTTCGTTTATCAATTAAACATCTATTCAAATTAACTATCTATCAAACAAGGTTTGAATATTTTCTTTACTTTTAAAAAATTATTTAATTAAACTAATAACATATATATATATTCAATTCAGATTTCTTGTTACAGATTCTACACAAACTATACAACAAAAACATAATATACTCTATGGTAAACCAATAGCTGAACGTATATTAAATAGATGTCAAAATGAATGTATAGAATTTATTGAAAAATATAAACGTCGTCCACAACTTGTTGCTATACTTGTTGGTGGAAATGAATCTAGCAAATTATATGTACGAAATAAACAACGTATCGCCGAACGTATCGGTTGTTTTTATGTTAATATATTATTGATTTTTTTTTAATATCTATGTTTTTTTTTCTTTTTTTCTTCTATACTTTAATTAAGGTATTGAATTTCATGTTATTAATCATTTAATGCATGTAACATCATTAAATTTATTAAATACAATTCAACAATTAAATAATGATGATAATGTTGATGGTATTATTCTTCAATTACCATTACCATTACATATTATTGATAAAACTGAAGAATTTATTAATTGTATTCGTTCAGATAAAGATGTTGATGCTCATTCAATATTAAATTATAATTTATATAGACAAAAATCAATATCATTAATAACTATACCTGTTGTAGCTGCTGTTCGAGAAATATTACTTGAAATAAATGAACCATTACAAGGAAAAGATGTTGTTGTTATTGGACGTTCAAAATATGTTGGTACACCATTAGCACTTATGCTTAGTCAAACAGTAGCTGATTCAAAAAATAGTTTAGTTAGTGATGCAACTGTAACAATATGTCATCGTGATACACATATTAATAATTTAACATGGTATTGTAAACATGCTGATATTATTGTATCAGCTGTTGGTCGTCCAAGTAAAATTTATTGTTTTTTGTTTTGTTTTTTGTTTTATTTTTTCGATTAGAACTTGTAACACATCGTATGATTAAAGAAGGTGCTATTGTTATTGATGTTGGTATATCAAAGAGTTGGACAGATAAAGCTGTAATGCATAATAAACGTTTTGTTGGTGATGTTGATTTTGATGGTAAATTTTGTTAAATGAAATTTTTGTTTTTTTTTAAAAGAAAATTTATTTTATTTATTTAGAAGTAAAACGTATTGCTCGATGGATAACTCCAGTTCCCGGTGGTGTTGGTCGAGTAACAGTAGCTTGTCTAATATCAAATTTACTTGAATTAGCACGACAAAGAAAAAAAATGAAATAAATTTTTTTTTTTTGTTAGAAAAAAATTTTAAAGTAAAAATAAAATAGGAAGATATTATTTCGAATTTGAATATTTTCTGATACAGTAGTATAGTTTTTAAACGTTGTTGTTGTGAGATAAGAAAATTATCGTTTTATTTAAAAAAAGTACTTATTTTATTTTTGTTGATTTTCAAATCACATTAATTAGATTTTTTGTTAGATATTGAATATGTCTGTTGAGAAAAATAGATGATAATACAAATAATATTTTGATTTGAAATTACTTCTGTTAAAGTATTAAATTAGCTATTATAAAGATACATCGTAAATATTTATTGTATAGACCTATTGAAAGGATTTGATGGTAAGTAAGAAATTTGAATTAAAAATATTTTTTCTTTTAATAAATTTTAAAGTATGTTCACATTACTGTAATTTATTGTTAAGATAACCTAAGTTGAGCGAGCAATGAAACACCCATACATTCTTCAATTCTTTTGTGGTAACTAAAAACATAATTGAAATCGAATTTATCAATTTTTACGATTCAGAAATATAAGGCTGAACGTTTTTGACTAATAAAGTTCCAGCTCTAACTATTGTGCTAATACTTTCTCGTCATATGATGAGTACCTCAATACATGCCGAATTAATTTATTATACTCATGAAAAATTGCCATCAGAAGTCAAATTTTGTCTAAATTAAAAGTTTTCCTTTGGAAATTTCGAACTAATTTTTCTCGATTACTTTTTACCGATTCTCATAAAATTTCAATAGCTCATCGTCTTTAGTTCATATTTTCATTGCAAAATATCAAAAAAAAAGATTTGGTTCTATTGTTAAGATCTAACCGTACTTTGATAATTTCCATTGAAATAAGATAACCACCCTGACGATACGAGAAACTTTTTTCCGATTTTTTTTAATATTCGATGACTAGTGAATTCTACATATTTCTTTAACGAGTCGTCTAAGAAATATATTGATCTTTTTGGAATTGCGATTATGATTAATATAAAAATTATTGTAGAAAATTTATTTTCCTTTTTTTTTGTAACAAGAATTTCATAACGAAAGATTAGAAAGTTTAAAATCAACAATTATCAGTTAGTTTTATTGAATAATTATGAACGATTATATTTATAAATTTTAAAAGCATTAGTTTTAAGTTCTTCATTATCTTGTAATATACAACCAATATTTTTTGCCATTTCATCATAACGTTTTTCTAATTGTTCAATTTGTTCGTTTTTAAGATCAAGAAGAAATGTTGGTAATTCTAATATTAATGTAGAATCTTTTGACATAATTGATGATGAAAAATTTTCTCCTTGTTCATTAAGATAATGTGTTAAGCCACAACCAATATAAATTAAATCAAATTGTAAATGACGATATCGTTCTTTACTAGCAGTACATAAATCTGAAATACTATTTAATGGTAAAAATACTATTTTAATTTGATTATGTTGTTCTTGAAGATGACTTAATAATTTAAGAACATTATATTCAGATACATCTGTAGCTGTTTTAACAAATTTATCATTAGCTTTAGTTTGCATTTGTGGATCATCATTATCAATAGGTAATAAACCATGTGCAAGAAATGGTCCTGTTATTATATCACCCCAATAACCACGACGAGCTTGTTTAGTACCATCAGAATTTTGAAAAACAAATGCAGAAGCAAGTGTTCGATTTGGTTGTGTATAATCTTGATGTGTTAAACGAAAAGCAAGACCATTTTCACGCCAATCACCATATTCATGTGCATTTAAACGTTTGAAACCACGTTCAGATAATTTCATATGTAAATCCCAATCAAAAGCATTACGACGAGTATCGAAACGTGGTCCTTTAAATTTTTAAAGAAAAGTTTTATATTAAAAATAATCTAAATGAAAATTAAATATGAGGAAAAATTGACTCATCATCGATGAGATTAAAAATTTTGGAATTAGTCGAAACGTCGAATTTAGTAACAAAAACATGTTTCTATATTGTACAAAATAAATACAATGCATGTTTAGTTATATACACCACAAATCATTTATTAAGAAATAGTACATATTGTATCAAAAATCCATGAAATTAATAGTATTGCGGCATACGATAGATCTGTACTAGGCTTTCATTGATTTTCTTTATGTCCAATTCATTTTAATTCTCTGTCACTGAGAGAAATACAATGTAACTATTAAAAGGTTTTGAATAGGATGAAACTTTCGAAAAATGACAGCAATATTTGATCTAATGAGCTCTTACTGTTGCTATTGAAACTTATTTTCATTATTTTGAAAAACAAATCAAAACTTTCGCTTGA